ATAAACCGATCATATATCAAGTCATCAACACGATCAATAAATCAATAAAGTATAATCGGCTAGAAAAAAGAAAAATAAACAGGCACGAAAGATATCCACTTTTTCTTTAAATGCATTTAAAGCTAAATAGCAAACAATTTGTTGACGTAAGCAAGCAAAAAATTGTTTACAGCACAGCTTACTTTGCTTAACACGTTTTATTGTTGCTTAACCGATACTTACAAAGCCACATAGATTGACGACACGTTTGACGCACGAAATTCGTTAAAATGAAAACGACATTACCTTCACATACTTATAAACCTGACGTGAGATGTGAAATTAGTATGCGCTGAGTTTTCTTACTTAGAATAATCACCAAATACAATTAATTGGTACATCGAATTAAACGTTACGAAATTCAAGTACGCCATGAGTTTAAATTCATGTAGTCTACGAGTTTCTTTCTCATCGATAACAGCAGTATCATCACCAAACTCAAGTATGCGATTTGCTTTTCTTGGTCACGGCAGAATCGCCTTCACATTTAAGTATACCATGAGTTTCTTTTCGAGAACTTCATTATATTCATTAAATTCAAGTACGCGATAAGTAGTTTTTCAGGAAAACTGCATTATCGTCGCCAAAATGAAATTTGAGATGAATTGTCTCCTCGACCGCTACACTACCACCACCTGCTTTAACCAATACTTCGATCTCAAACAATATCGTCACCAAATTCAAGTATGCGATGGGTTTTTTTCTTGGTCACGATAGAATCGCCTTCACATTTAAGTATACCATGAGTTTTCTTTTCGAGAACTTCAGTATGTCATTAAATTCAAGTACGCGATAAGTAGTTTTTCAGGAAAACTGCATTATCGTCGACAAAATTAAATTTTTGATGAATTGTCTCCTTGACCGCTACACTGTCACCACCTGCTTTAACCAGTACTTCGATCTCAAACAGTATCGTCACTAAATTCAAGTATAACATGAGTTGTTTCTCTAATATTGCATGGCCGTCACCAAATTCAAATATTCTATGCGTTTTTTGTTTAATCACAGGAGTATCGACACCAAATTCAAGTATGTGATGAATTTGTTTTTGCTCACTGCTAGATCGATTTAAAATTAAAGTTTAAAAAATCCATTCGAGCACGGCAGAATAGTCACCAAATTTAAGTTTGTGATGAGTATTATTTCACAAACGTATGCCATGAATTTTTCTTCGGGCACTGCAATATAGTCGCTAAATTAAACTGTACATAATAGTTATTTTCTCGATAACATTATTGGGGGGCATCGGTGGCCGCAACGGTTTAGACGTTGACACGGCGCTCATCACTGTAAGGTAAAGGTCCCGGGTTCGAATCCAGGGGCCCTGCATTCGAACCCGACATACTTACAAATGGGCTTTTTTTCAAAAACACCGGCACCCCGAGGGTTGATATAACCTCTGCTGTTGCGAACCCTCATAAAAAGAACATTATTGTCGTCAAAATCAAGTATGCAGTGAATTTTTGTTTATCACATCAGGATCGCCTTCAAATTCAAATCTGCCAAGAATTTTCTTTTTCAAGCACTGCATTATTGTCAATAAAATATATTTATTTTTTCAAGAACTGCAGTAAAGTAAAAAAAAATCAAGTATGCCATAAGTTTTTGTTCGAGCACTGCAGTATAGATACAAAATAACAGTATATGTACTATGATTTTCTTTCTCGATAACATTATTATCACCAAAATCAGGTATACGATAAAATTTTTCTCGTGCAATGCAGTGTTATCACGAAAATTAAGTATGCATTAAGTTTTTATCATAGCAGGAACACCTAATTGAAATCTGCCATGAGGTTTCTCTTCGAGCACTGTCATATAGTGTCTAAATTCAAATACGCGACGAATATTTTTCCTCGAGAACTCCATTATTGTCAACAAAATCAAATATGCGATTAAATTTTTTCCCAAGAACTGCAGTAAAGTAAACAAAACAAGTATGCCATGAGTTTTGTTCGAGCACTGCGGTAAAGTCTCTAAATTCAAATACGCGTAGAATATTTTCCCTGGAGAACTGCATTACTATTAACAATTTGAAATATGCGATGAAATATTTTCTCAAGAACTGCAGTAAAATAAAAAAATCAAGTATGCCATAAGTTTTTGTTCGAGCACTGCAGTATAGTTACAAAATTACAGTATATGTACTATGAGTTTCTTTGTCGATAACATTATCAGGTATACGATGAAATTTTTCTCGTGCACTGCAGTGTTATCACGAAAATTAAGTATGCATTAAGTTTTTATCATAGCTGGAACACCTAATTCAAATCTGCCATGAGGTTTCTCTTCGAGCACTGCCATATAGTCTCTAAATTCAAATACGCGACGAATATTTTTCCTCGGGAACTGCATTATTGTCAACAAAATCAATTATGCGATGAAATATTTTTTCAAGAACTGCAGTAAAATAAAAAAATCAAGTATGCCATGAGTTTTGTTCGAGCACTGCAGTATAGTCTCTAAATTGAAGTATACATACTATGAGTTTCTTTCTCGATACAGCATTATCGTCACCAAAATCAAGTGTATGACGTGTTTTTGCTTAATCACAGCTGGATCGCCGTAAAATTCAATTATACCATCAGGTTTTTTCGCGAGAAATGCAGTATAGTCTGCAAATTCAAGTATGCGATCAGTTTTTCTCCTAGAGAACTGCAGTTTAGTCTGCAAATTCAATTATGCTATGAATACAATACTATGAACTAGTATGAAATCAGCTTTTTCGAGAACTGCAGCATTGCTATTAAATTTAAGTATTTAATCAGTGTTTTTTCTCTGAATTCAACTGTACCAACAGTTTTTCTCTTCGGGAACTGCATTCTTGCGACCAAATGCAAATATGTCTAGCCGAGTATTACTGTATAATCACCAAATTGACGTATCAAATTTGTTGTTGTTGTAGCGGATGCTGTATCGTCACTAAATTTAAGTATGCCATGAGATTCCCTCTTCATAACATCAGAATCGTCACCAGATTCAAATATTCTAGAGCACTACAGTATAATAACAAAATTCAAGTTTGCTATGTGCTTTTATCTAGCGCTACAATATGTCACTCAATTCAATTATTTACAATGATTTTCTGCTTTGAGCACTGCAATATTTTCTCTTTTAATATTGAATAAGGATGGATAGATTTCCTCAAAAATTCATTGTGAAGCAAGTGAATCCGTGCAAAGATGCGCTTTTGATGTATCAAATAAGCCACCAAATTCAAAAACAAGTTTTCAAACGGTTTTCAATTTCAAACAAAGGGCAAAATTTTAGCAAAGTCCTACTGTCAATTAATTTCGTTAATGTACTGCTAATTTGTACTTTCAATAGGCGCAATTAAAAGGCCAGGAAATTATATAACCACGTGAGGGGAAGAAAATTCTAAAACTTTTGAATCAACCTATTTTGTTGTTCATCTTTCAATTATATTTAAAATGGACACTTGTTTTTATAATCGCAGTGAATTACATTTTATGTAAGTTTAATCGATTTAGACTAACATCAACACATCGATCGATAGTGTATCATTATATTTATATCAAGGGTTGATGTTCAAATTTCGAAGACATAAAATTTTCAAGTTCAACTTTGAATTTTATTATTACTTGATGCGTATGCATTTCGGTTCACAGGTCCCTCTCCAAGGCTTCTAGGGACTAGAATCATGCTCTCTCTTCTGTCAGTATGATTCTAGCCTCTAGAAGCACTGAAGAGTGACTTGTAGAACAGGCCGAATGCACAGGTATTAAGCGATATCTCAAGGCTGATTTTGGGAAATTTTATGTTTTTATGCGTTCAACATTTTAACACCAACCCTGTTCATAAAAAGAACTTAAAAACATAGAAGGAGAAAAAAGTCTTGTTAATTTTGTTCAAATAATCATTTTCTGAGGCAATTTTCCACTTTTTTTTAGAAAGCTTTTTTTATTTAATATTATTGTTAAGAAGCAATTTTCCAAGTTCCTTTTTGTTTTTTGAAAAAAAAAGGCATAATAATAAAAAGGGAAAATTCACAGTTTTTCTTTCATGCTGAACGAACATTGTAGAGGAAGGGCTAAAAATCATAACTAGTAAGAAGCAGGCATAAGCAATAAAACAAACAGTGTATAAAGTATATACAATTTATTATACCCAAACGTTGTGTAATGAATAATTCGACATTATTCTACCATAAACCCCTTATCTAATCGGTTTTCTATTTAACTACTCCGTGAAGTATTGGTCTCCTAGAGAAAGATACATCCAGAATTTTCTAATACGATCTTATTTAAGCTATGAAAATAAATGGTTCTCAATTTCTGAACACGAATATAAATTATTTTAAAGACATTTTCTAGGAGAGTTTGCCGGTCGTGGCTTAAAAGGCCAATCAAAACTCGCCGATTGGGAATATTAAGAAACCACCGAATGATAAGTAGGATCGCCATAACAGGCGCTGACTTTCCTATTTCCTGTTTCACCTTGTTTAATACCCACTGGGTCGTCGGCCTTTCAGAATCAAATGTTACGTTCGGGAAAGATGGATTATGAGGAGGTCCGCCTTGTCCCGCTGTTTGTCACTTTTAACCTTTACTGTTTGCCGAACACGAAGATAGTATAGAGGCGATATACTCAAGATGCCTAACAACTATGTCAAGCGAATAGAACTGTGAAGGCTAGAAAAGAAGAGACAAAATCAATTCAAATTGGCTGTTATTTTCTTCAATTCTACCATATGTAGCCTACTCAAACTGTAGATTATTTCAAGCAGAAAAATCTTAAAACAAGTTTAAATTTTATAACACAACGGATTCTAACATCTGCTTTTTAATTTCTAGACAATAATATTTATATAAAATTTTTATTGTTGAAAAAAAGTCGTAATAAAGGAAATGATATAGTGTGACTAATTATCTTCTATAAAAATAAGAAAATAACTTATAGAAATATGTTTTCTCCACTATCCTATAGCATTGAATATAAAATTATTGAGCGAAATGAAGTTGGTTTATTTTCGAGGATATAAACGCCGGACGATAACGTTTTGAGGCCAAAAAGCATTGGAAAGAAGTCTATCCTTGTACTCGGGTTCAACTGAAACTTTGAAATTCGCGTAGAATCCGTTCGGGTTCATGACTTCGCAAGTGAACTTACACTTTGGAATTTTCTTAAGTATGTACTTGGACACTAGGTCGGCGGGTGTGCCCTTTGCTATCCTCCCAACGCAGATCTCAACGCGTTTGCCGCTATCCAAGCCCTTCTTGTTCGACGACGAGGGCGATTTGACGACATTCGAGTTGCAAGGCTTTTCGGCCGCGGAAGAGTCAGCTGGTTCGTAGGAAGAGACGTTTGTAGGGAACACAGCCGGATCTTCGTGTTTTTCATACCTGGTCGACCTGGTGGTGTTGGAAGATTGTATTTCTGTCGTTCTAGACAATTCGCTGGAATGTTTGCTATCCTTTTCCGATTCTTTTGACGTCGGTTTGTCCAAACAAGGATCATCTGATTTAATAAAACATTTTGAAACATGTACTTTTGATACATGTTTTACATTATTCCATGGGTTTTTATTCACGTGTACACACGCCGTACAAACGTTACAATCTAAATTTTTCTGTTCATCTCGTTGCTCGACTTTATTTTCGATTTCTTCTTGCTTTGAGTTTTCGTCCGTTAACGGAGTGTTCGGTTTGCACGTGGGTGCTTCGCTCACGTGCGAAGATGCGATATGAGGAGATTCACAGTCCAGCGAATCATCGACGAGATCATCGTGGGACCGTTCCGCTTTGTTGACGTTTTTCTCGATCTTTTGCATTCTCTCGTTCATCTCCATTATCTTCTTTTTCAACGACTCGTTCTCTTCGCAGATCTGCTTCAACTGGATTTTGTCTTGAAGCAGGTGCGTTATCATCGCTTTTCGCAGCTCCTCGTTCTCCTCGCAGAGGTTTTTCATCTGCGATTTCTCTTGGAGCAGCTCCTTCATCAAAGTCGTCAGGACCAAGAGCACTTTCTGCGAATCTTTCTGGTCGGCGACCAGCATCGACAGGAGTACTTTGCTGTCGAGGTTGCTTATATCGCTTCGGTTATCTCCTGAAACCTTGTCGTCCGTCCAGACCGATGAACCCTTGAGGTTCTTTTCGGTGATCTCTTCCAGCTTCTGCTTGCATCGCGTACCTCTGCACTCTGGGCAGGTCCACCGAAAAGAAGAGACTATGTCGTTCAGATCTACGTTGAAGGTTTTTTCGGCGCAGGAGCTATGCCACGTCTTTTTACACGCCACGTTTTTGCACTTAATGCTCACGTCGTTTACCTTTATCATGGAGAGACAGCTTTCGCACTTTCGGTTTTTCGACCTCGCCATAGTTCCGTCAGAAAATTCTTCTACCTGAAAGCTAATTTGAATTCTATTTTCATATCTCCAAATTCACAACAGAAGGAGCTTTTTACATTAATGTAAAGTAAATTAAAATACATCATTGCAAGTTTCTAAACCAAGCTTTTCGTTTTTCTTTAGACCCGGCTTTATAACCATTGTAACATTTTTTTTTTTAATTTGAAATGATTTGATGAGTAAAATGTTTGAAAAGTTTCATAGGACCTACCATTCCATCTCCGTCATGCCCGATGTATGTAAAAATTCCTTTCCAATAACAAAATTTTGCGTTTACTTGCTCTAAACATATGATTTCATATTGTGAATAATATTGAAAACATACCTACAAAATTTGTAACAAGCGTGTAGCCAGAAATGGGATATTACCTGAAACAAAAAGAAATAACGAATAAGAAAACACATGAATAAATATAACATAATCTCCAAAATAAAAACAGTCGACATTAAAGTGCCATAAAGCTGAACTTGAAAATCGTACTTTTTCAATTCCCTTATCGATCTAATACCAATGTTTAATTGACAAACCTCAAATTGACCAACAAAAAGTGGTTTACCGATTAAAACTCATTTTATTTAAATAAACGTTTATTCTCCTACATTGCAGAATCATCACTAAATTCAAGTGAAGTTTTTCACCGTGTCCAGGCGTTTTCGGTTCTCGACCATTAAATCATAATAAAATATAATAATATAAATACAAAAATATAATTATAAAAATTTTCTGCCATTTCATATTTAAGTATCTGATGAGTTTTTCTCGAGCTCAAGCAGTATCATCATCAAATTGACATTACGATGAGGTTTTTTCTAGAGTTCGACCAGTATCTACACGAAATTCCAGTGTACGATAAGATTTTTTCTAACACTGCAGTATGATCACCAAATTTAAGCATGCGCTGAGTTTCTCTCGAACTCAAGCAGTATCATCATCAAACTGAAGTATGCGATGAGGTTTCTTCAGGAGTTCGACCAGTATCTCCACCAAATTTAACTATATAATAAGATTTTCTCTAGCACTGCACTATTATCACCAAATTTGAGTATGCGCTGATGCGCTAAGTATGAGCTGAACTCAAGCAGTCTCATCATCAAATTGACATATTCGATGAGGTTTTTCTAGAGTTCGACCAGTATCTACACGAAATACCAGTATACATTATGATTTTTTTTTAACACTGCAGTATGATCACCAAATTTGAGTATGCGATGTGTTTGTCTAGAGCTCAAGCAGTATCATCACCAAATTGATGTATGCGATCAAGTTTTTTCTGGAGCTCGACCAGTATATATATATTACACAGGGCGGGCGACCAGGACCCGAGGGGTTAAAAGCCTGAGTAGGCCCGTACCCCATCCCTAAAAGGTCCGGGACCTGGTCGGCTCACGAGTCCTGCATAAACCTATTGGACCTATTCACAAACCCAAGGATTGTGGACCATTTTATCCTGGGGAAAAATTGATGTATGCGATCAAGTTTTTTCTGGAGCTCGACCAGTATCTCCACCCTATTCTACTATACAATAAGACTTTCTCTGGCACTGCACTATTATCACCAAATTTAACCATGCGCTGAGTTTCTCTCGAACTCAAGCAGTCTCATCATCAAATTGACGTATGCGGTGAGATTTTTTCTAGAGTTCGACCACGAAATTCCAGTATACGATAGGATTTTCTTCTGCACTGCAGCATTATTGTCCATTTTAACATACGATGAGTTTTCCTCGAGGTCGATCAGTATCGTCAATAAACAACACTTTTATACAAAACCAGTACGACACCACACTTAGTGCCCTGAAAATGACCCGAATAAAGGTCGAAACGTCAGAAAAAAAATGAAAAAGGTCAGTTTTTCTCGAGCATAAAGTTACTTGCCTTTCATTTTTTACTTATAATAATATAGTAATATTATTATTACTTAGTATTAATAAATGTTAAATAAAAGAGGTTTACTGATTGTAATTAATTTGAATCTATTAAACTCTTATAACTTGAACGTTTGTTCTATCATGTACTAAAAGAAAAACCAAAATAAATCATAACTATCACAAGATTCAAGAGATGTATAATAAAATATTAAAGAAATGTTTCCGTTAGATTTTGATTATGTAATATGTACTTATAAAATAAATATATTTAGGTTTTTAAATTAATTAATTATTAGTGTTATTCATAAGCACTTTCTAGTTAGAGACGTGTAAAAGTTGCTAACATGATTTGTGTATGATAATTGGATCTTTAATTGATTGGTAATTACTTTTTTAAAAATCCATCTCATTTGATATATTGAAAAATGCGGTTTTTTAGAAACTTCCACCGCAAAATGAACCACCCTTGAACGTCATTCATTTGCAAAATGAATGCGAGAAGAAAGTGCGAATCGCGGGAAACGTACATGGGAACGTTAAAAGCGGCTCATTTCGGGTAATGCACGAATTCTCGATTCGATGAAGTATACTTCATTTTGTAACCAGTGCATCGGACGTGGTTACAAAGACGGAGAAGCGCGCTGAGGAATGTTACACGCTCTTCAACGCTTCCCTTCCGCCATATCATCCTCGACGCGATGGTCATAACGGTAAAACCATGCTTGGAATCTATAATTCCATCAATTTTCGATGAACAGCACGTCTTGAAATTTTCAACAAGGCGCATTTTTCCAGTCGATCGACTGTCTGTGTTAACCGAAAATGGCAGTTCTAGAATAAGATTCGGTACAGATATAATTATATCGATTATCGATTATTGATAACTGATCTTATTTAAAAACTAAGCCTCTAAGGACTCAATACTGTCTAATAATGCCATTCCTGGCGAACAATTTTTGCCTTACGGACGAAATATGGGGCATTCCTTCGTCACGGTGGATTCCATTACTTTTCACAGAAAAATTCGCTTGCAATCCAATAGAGAGGAAAGTATTAAAAGAACTCATCCAATCTTACAAATTGATCTCTAGGAGAAGTCTGCCTGCCTTTATAAGCGGTAGATTGAGGCTTTCCGGCTTTCCTAGTAATTTTTGCAAAAAAACTAATAATTATGATAGAGCTTTCAAATAGAAATGTTTAAATTTACATAGAAACTCAACCATCGACACATGTTTGAAAAAATAAAGAAGAAATTGATCTTTAAAGTGTTTTTGATTTCGGGCTTTATAAACTGGCGGTCGCCGGCTCTGCAGAGCTAAACCGCAATTATGTTGGTAAAATAATATGCGTTCCCGGTTGGTTACAAGTCGAGAAGCAGACTAACATTTAGACAATTGGCCGGAGGTTAAACGAAATAACTTTGTTTTCGCCTACAGACAAAAAGTCTTACTTATAGCGACCTTTACCAACAATGATACAGCAAAACGCCCAATGAGGCTGTATGTTAAGTTGACTTGTTCAAACAACAAACTGTGTTGACACATTTTTTCACTCTTGAGCTTTGAGATTGCTGACCCAGAATAGGGCATATTATCCAACTCACTTAATTCGTTGTCTAACTTAATTTCTTTTTAATGTATTGTCCGACTTATTTCAGGGCCCTCAGCAGCATTACGAACAACTGAAAAACAAAAACAGAAAAGAAAACCCTAGAGTTCTGCTAACGACAATTGTCGAAAGCGAGATCGTACGGTCAAACGAAAAACGAAACTAAAAGAAACTGTAAATTTATTGAATTTTTTAAAGACGAGTAAAACAGAGAGTACGCACTGCCATAGGGCAAATAGGAAGCACCATTTTTTCCAGAATACGCACTAGGTTTTCCACTTAAAATCTCGGCTTATCAATTCAGTAATCCGTTTCCCTATATCAATCATTTAAAAATAAAACAGGGACCGCGACATGATGATGTATAAAAACTTATCAATCTACATTTGTAATTTATGTTCTACTTCATTCATGTCTTGTTCGTAAGAAGAAACTGTTTTCACCGACAAAGCTAAATTATTTATCACTTCTCTGTTCTTATTAAAAAGAAAAACTTTTTGACTGGCCAGCAGAGATAAACAGCGAGAACATACGTAAGAGAGATCGAGGCACGATAAGGCATAAAAAATATCACCCTACATTTTTAATAGAATTTATGTTCTACCTCATTCATGTCTTGTTCGTCAGAAGAAATTGTTTTGACTGACAAAACTCAATTATTTATCAGTTCTCTATTTATTATGAAGAAGAAAGACTTTTCGACTGGCAAGCAGACATAAACAGCGAGAACATGCATACCCACCCTATATTAGATTAAAACAGGCTGAGGTAACAACACTATATTTGTCAGATTGTGTTGTTACCACAGTTTGTGTCAAAAATCAGCATTTTGTTCTCTTTCAGTCTGTTCGAGTGAATTATTGACAAAAAATGTTTCGACTGACAAGCAAAGATAAACACCGAAGGCATAAGGCCCCAGCATGCTACATTAAATTGTTTACAGAAACTCAAAAGTTTTTCTATTTCAGTATTTCATTTTTCTCAATTTAATTTCTTGTTGTATATTCTTGTTTACAATTAAAGGAGTACATTTCGACTTACAAGCGAGAACAAGCGGACCCTTCCATAATCATCCCTAATCAGATGCTATTAGACTATTATGAGACAAGTATTGTTCTGTTCTTTTCCCTCTTCTATTTTCGCCAAGAAATATTTGGTTAAGCTATTTCAAAGACAGGTAAAGACAAAACAACTTGGGTTTTTCTTTCTCTTTCTATCTGTTCTTGTAAGTTTTTGAGAAGAAAATGTTTCGGTAGAGAAGCTAAGATAAACAGCGAGAACAATTGAGCCCAGAAACTAATAGACTAAAAAATTTATAGGTATCATTTTAAATGCTTAAAATTGAAAATTTTATTATTTATTGTAGCTTGTTTCTTGTAGTAAGAAGAATACTTTTTTGACTTTCAAGCAAAGATAAAAAGCGAGGACCCTAACAGATACCACCCAATTAAAAAAAGTACATAAATTATTCTTAATTTCTAGTTTTCTATTGTGTTTATCGTTATAAAACAGTTTTGTTGACTGGCAAGGAAAGATAAACAGCGAGAACCTGCGGATCCAGCAGCCACTATAAGCTACAAATAGACTTCAAGTACTACCATATTTTTGACAGAAAATCAACAGTTTTTCAGTATTTTCTTGTTCATTATTAAGAAGAAGACATTTCGACCAACAAGAAAATATAAAAGCGAGAATAAGCGGACCCAGGCTCTAACAAATAAAACAAAAAAATAAATGCAACTACAGATGCCACACTAAATTGTTTATACAAAATAAATTTATGTTCATTACTCGTCGTCTATTTTAGTTTACTATTAAAAAGAACAGTTTTGTCGACTGTCATGCAGTGGGATCATAGCGAGAACATGCGAACCCATATTAGGCTGAAAGAGACTTCAAGCACTAAACTAA